AGCAGGGGCCTAGTCAAATTAAGTTGCTTTCATTTCTAAAATAGATTGTTAATTGAGAGACTTCATGTGTTACTAAATAATTAAGAAGTGGCTTTTCTCTAAAAATAATTCATTTTCAGTTTACCATATAAGTAGTGTCATGAATGGCTGGATGTTGATTTTGTTGTGATTGGCCGTACTCAATTTATGTATTTAAAATTATTTTAAAAAAAAGAAAAAGAAAGATTTAAACACTGGAGATGTGTGTTTGACTGCTTCTATCCAATTTGGCTTTCTACTTAGTCATAATAAAGATTGCAATGTATTATAAAGAAATTCTCTAAAAGAGCAGCGAAACTTAAACTCCTATATTAACAAAATAAACAGCTGATCTTTAGAGGCTCCATATGGAAGAACTCCAAGTATCCGATTATGAAAGCAGGGTGTTTATTTGGATGTTACTGCATATTTAAATTTCAGTCTACATTTCAGTATACATTTGGTGCTAAGTCCATCTTTTAATTCAGTGCATTTGATTATAAGTTCTTCTTTAATTGTCTCTAATTAACAGCTATCACCAATTGACCATTTATTTGATAACTTATGATTTTCCTTTTTTTTTTTTTTTTTTTTTGGGGAGGTTTTTGCTATAGGGCACGTGCGCCCTTCAGAGAGACAGAAAGCGAGAAATCACTCCTCAGGGGTATGGTGATTCTGCAATCCCTTTTCCTCCATTCTCTCGGGATCTTTTTTTTTTTTTTTTTGAGAGGTTTTTGCTATAGGGTGCATGTTCTTGCCAGACAGACAGAGAGAGACAGAGAGGCAGAAAGCGAGAAATTACCCCCCCAGGGGGGATGGCCACACAGCAATCCCTTCTCCTCCATTCTCCTCTTGGGATCTTGGGCACGCACACACACACGCCCGGCGTGAGTTTTAAGCCACCGAATCCAAAACGCGAACCACGGTCAACCACATGGGAGTCCAGTGACACAGCCATTACGCTAAATGTTGGTCCCTCCTCTCGGGATGTTGGGCATGCATGCACATGGGCCCAACGTGAGTGGTCCAGGACTCAAACCACAGTCGACTACATGGGAGTCCAGTGACATAGCCATTACACTTGACTGCTGGTCCCTAACTTAGGATTTTCTTTACATGATAAAATAGTTCATCTGCTCTGAGTAGAATTCAAAATTTGTTCTTAAATATTATTTAGATTCAGTATTAAGATTATGTCACAAGAATTTTATAACAATATTTAATAATATACTAATCTGAGATAAAATATTTTTGCCTGAAATTGCTTTATCATATGTTATACAAAAATAATTTACATGATTTAAAAAATTCCCCAAGGTGTGAGGGTCAACGGATGGCTTAATTGTTACATTGCTGACTCCCACATAGTCAACTGCAGTTCGAGTCCTGGACCCAATGGCTTAAACTCATGCTGGGCATGTGTGCATGTTTGCAAAATCCCAAGAGGAGAATGGAGGAGAAGGGATTGTGTCAAGGCCATCCCCCCGGAGGGTGATTTCTCACTTTCTGTCTCTCTGTCTTTCTGGTGAGTGCAAGCGCCCTATAGCAAAAATCTATTAAAAAAAAAAAACTAAGGAAGTTTATAATATTAAATTTTAAAAGATTTATTAGTTAAAGAAAAATACGTAAACAGTGGTCTGCATTGTGGACTAATCACTGAAATTGTACTGATTGTTGTCAGATTGGACTTCAATCCAGATTAGCCAACCTAGAAAAGATATATACCATCATCAAAATGGGGGAGCAAGATGTATCAGATGATGAGTCCCTTTAACTGAAGAATACAGCATTGTTTCTTGTTTTCAAAAGATAACTTCCCTCTTTCTTTTTAATTTTTAATTATGAATTCTTTTAAAAATTATTTAATTTTTATTATTATTTTTTAATTTGCTGTAGGGCTCATGCACTCTAGAGATAGAGAATGTGAGAAAGCAAGCCTCCAGGTCCAGGATACAAACCATGGTTGACCGCGTGGTAGTTCAGTGCCTTATCCACCATGCCTCCTCCTTGCCCCATAATTTCCCTCTTTCAATCCATATTGTAGGGGGACCAGCAGATGGCACAATGGCTATATCGCTGAACTCCCATGTAGCCATCTGCAGTTCAAGTCCTGGACCTGGTGGCTTAAGCTCATGTCGGGTGCATGTGCGTGTGTGCCCAAGATCCCGAGAGGAGAATGGAGGAGAAGGGATCGCGGCATGGCCATCCCCCTAGGGGTGGTTTCTCGCTTTCTGTCTCTCTCTGTGTTTCTGGCAAGTGCACATGCCCTATAGCAAAAACCTCTCTCTCAAAAACAAAAGACTGCTCAGTAATAGATCCCACATTTATGAGGAGGAGCACTGCCAAGGACAGGTGTACTGTATGATGGTGCTGACAACAGGAGCTCTTAATGCTCCCCAGTACTTAGTATGGATATATCACTTACTAGAAGGACCAAGACCTAGTTGACAATATTCTGAGTTGCCTGGGTAATCAAATGCCTACATAGGAATGTGTTTTCTGGGGATGTAGACATAGGCTGTCTAAGTTTAAAGATTATGGTGCTATTGGGTCCACCTTACTGGTGAGCCAGCAGACTATCTAAGGAATAGACTTTATAAAATAACTTGTCTAGCTAGAGCAGGTGCATAATTGAGCCTCTTGTTAGGCAGTCTTTCTTAATTTGTTGTTGTAGGCTGTGCTGGCTCTTGCAGCTTTTGTAGATTGTCTTCTATATATTGCATTTTAGTACTAGGATATTTGGAGTGGAGGTTGGGTTCAGAGTCTTAGATTCAAAGCATTTTTAAAACCTTTACACAAGTTGACATGAAAAATTAAATGAAGCAGTAACCAGAAATGGCCAGGAAAGCCACTTTATCCTAAATGGTGTCAGTCATTTTTTCCTTAAACTGGCTACAAAAAGCGAATTTTTTCCTAGTCTTTATCTTGACCAGGAAAACATAAATGATAGTATATTAGCAAATTGCCTCTCTCCTTTCTTTCTTGCTCTCCCTTCACTGAGTGCTTCATCTATGCCAGGCACTTTTCTGGCATTGGGCTACAGTGGTGAACAAGGCATGATCTTTGACTTTGTGGAGTGTACATTCTGTTGCACAGGGATAAAGACAGTAAATATATAAGCAACAAAACAAATTCAAGGACTGCTAAGTGGTATAAAGACAGTAAACTGTATAATGGGGTAGAGAGTAGTACTCAAATGGGACCATGGTTAACAGGCGGTTAAGAAGTGAAGAAAAGCCAGGGGTGAACAGTAGAGGATGAGTCAGTTTATAGACTTGCTGGAACTATTGAGCCATGATAGAGAAGTTTAGATTTTGTTCAAAATGTAATGGGTAGCCTTGAATCATTTAAAACAGGCAGGCAATTTAACGTCCTAAATATTACTCTGTTGTGCTCTTTGGAGAATGATTCTAGAGTATGGAGAGGCAAGCGGACACAGGGAGACTAGTTAAGAGGCTAAGATAGTAGTGTAGGTGAGAAGTGAGAGAGAATGATGGTGTGGATCAGGAATCTAGTAGTGGGAGCGATGAGAAGTGGTCAAAACTGAGAGATATTTTGGAGATAAGGTTGACAGACCTTACTGAGTGAGTTTATATCCTGGATATGGCCTGCAAACATGGCAGGTAGCCATTCTGCTTTTATGGACCTCCAAACACCTAAAGTTCAGTTAACTTACTAAGGTACTCTTTGTTTTGTTTTGTTTTGTTTTGGAGAGTTTTTTGCCATAGGGCACATGCGCTCTCCAAAAAAAGAGAGACAGAGAGCAAAAAATCCCCCCCCCCCCCAGAGGGGATGGTCATGCCACAATCCCTTCTCCTCCATCCTCCTCTCGGGATCTTGGGCAAACATGCACACATGTCTTGCGTGAGTTTAAGCCACTGGGTCTGGGACTCGAACTGCAGTCGACTACATGAGAGTCCAGCAACATAGCCATTACACCAACTTCTGGTCCCCTTACTAAGGTACTCTTACTATACTCTATTGGGTTATCAGGTTGTCTGTCTACACAGTTGGTAATTAATAATAATAAACTCCAGAAAGTAGTGCCTTTGCATCTTCTGTTCGACTCTTCTGAGAACAGTTTCTGGGGAAGTAGATTAAGCCAACCAACTGTTCTGTTCGCTCATTCAGCCAGCCAAGTTGATTGGAAACGCAGTATATGCCAGGCACTGTGTGGAATGCTGTGGATTTAAGATGACTTGACTGCCAGCTCCATGTAGAGTCCCTAGCCTGGGAAGGACAAGCACAATGTGAAAAAGCAGTTGATGTGAAAAAGGATAAATCCTGTAAAGCTGATGTCTCCAGTGACCTTCAAAAAGAATTTGAAAATCATTATAAGCTTTCTTTACCTGAAGATGTCTATCACTTTTGGAAGTCCTGTGAAGAACTTGATCCTGAAAAGCCAGCTGACTCACTTTCTGCAAGCCTTGGACTTTGATTAGTCGGTTCTTGTGATGCCCTTACTGGAAAACGGAAAGCAAAGAAAAAATCAACAGGTTTGAATTTTAACCTTCACTGGAGTAGTTTTACTGTGATCCTCCTGAACTCCAGACCATTATTATTGGGCATAATAAAACTCAGTTCATATGGGGTACATACTAAGATGTATATTCTCCTGATGAGCTCCCGGTATATTTTGGTATAAATGAAGAAAAGAAAATTTGTATATTTGTTCAAAGTGGAGATAATGTAGTCAAATTATTTATTTATTTTTGGAGAGGTTTTTGCTATAGGGCGCGTGCGCTCTCCAGACAGACAGAGAGAGACAGAGAGAAAGAAAGCAGGAAATCACAAGCCAGGGGGGATGGCCACGCCGCAATCCCTTCTCCTCCATTCTCCTCTCGGGATCTTGGGCACGCACGCACACGCGCCCGGCGTGAGTTTAAGCCACCGGGTCCAGGACTTGAACCGCGGTCGACTACGTGGGAGTCCAGCGACATAGCCATTATGCTAACTGCTGGTCCCTAGTCAAATTATTTTTGATGAAAAATCTTAAAGAAGTAACATATAAAAAAAAAACTAGTTTTTTGAAAAACTTATAGAAGCAACCAAAGAACTTGGGTACTCACTGGAACAGAAAACCATGAAGATGAAACAGAGGGATAAGAAAGTTGTGACAAAGACCTTTCATAGTTCAGGCGTGGTTGTTCCAGTAGATAAAAATGATGTTGGATATAGAGAGCTCCCTGAATCAGATGCTGACCTCAAGAGCATTTGCAAGGCAATTGTTGAGGCCACAAGAGAGGAGAAACTGGGAACCAGCAGTTAGCGTAATGGCTATGTCGCTGGACTCCCACGTAGTCGACCACGGTTCACGTCCCGGACCCGGTGGCTTAAAACTCACGCCGGGCGCGTGTGCGTACGTGCCCAAGATCCCGAGAGGAGAATGGAGGAGAAGGGATTGCGGCGTGACCATCCCCCCTGGGGGGTGATTTCTCGCTTTCTGTCTCTATGTCTCTCTCTGTCTGTCTGGCGAGCGCACGCGCCCTATAGCGAAAAAAAAAAAAAAACCTCTCCAAAAAAAAAAAAAAAAAAGAGAGGAGAAACTAAAAACTTTTGCTCCCATTCAGAAAATGATGACCTTTATGCAATTTGCTAATGATGAATTTGACTACAGTATGGGGCTTGAGCTGAGAATGGACCTCTTTTGCTATGGTTCACATTATTTTCATAAAGTTGCCAGCCAGCTTTTGCCTCTTGCATATAATTTGTTGGAGAGGAATCAATTTGCAGAAATTATTGAAGATCATCTGGCAAACAGAAGTAAAGAGAACATAGATCAACTTAGAGCATGAAAGAGATTTGGCTTTGTTTAGTGTATGTCATTCATAAGCATTAGTATTGAAACTTGTGATTTTTGTTTTGTTTTTAAGGAAAACTGAAAGTAAACTGATGGAAACATTACTTTCATAAGGCAAAAAAAAAGTAAACCTTTGGGGCCAGGAGGTGACATAGTGGTTAGGGCACTGGTCTTCCACATGACCAATCACAATTCAACTCCTGGACCTGTTGGGTTGAAACTCAGGCTGATGCCTGTGCTTCGTGCCCAAAATCTCGAGAGGAGAATGGAGGAGAAGGGATTGTGACAGGGCCATCCCTCCCCTGCCTCCTCCATGGGTAATTTCTTGGTTTCTGCCTCTGGCAAGCTCACAGGCCTGATAGCAAAAATCTCTTAAAAAAAAAAAAAAAAAGAAAACCCTTATTGAGCCTCATCTACAGAACATATGGATTCCCTCAGTACCACTGACAGCCCAGTGAATAACTTTGGGAATATCTCAGAGTTCTCATCATACCCCTAAGGGAACTTGAGGCCAAATGACAGTCAAAGGCAGGTAAGACAGGTTGAGTGGCTGTCTTGACCCTGTACTTAGACCTGTCAGCTTAGCCCTCAGCCTGAAATACCACATCTAAGACCAATAAATAAAAAGCAATTTCGGGCAACTTTTTCCTGAAATTATCTATCTTGTAGACAGATGAGTGCCTCATGTCCCCTTTCAGAAGGCAAACTCAATGCAAAATGAACGAATAATTTTATCTGTGATAAGAACCTCACCAAATATATGGACAAAGTTGGTTCAATGGAGGGCATCATTGGGACCAAAATATAAGAAATGACAGCTGTCTTTTAGATAGGAGGTAAGCAATGGGTTGTGTTCAGAAATGTGGAAATTTAATGGTCAGTTCAAATAATCTGCTTCCTTTTTACCCAGAGATACTTCTATTGGACTTTTGTCCACTTTCTCTACCCCACTGAATTTTGGAGTGCTTCACAGCATTCACAGTTTGTACATGAAGAAAGTATTACTGAATTTCTTTTTTCTACTGTGTACTGGCTATGTGTTGGGGATATGAGGATGGGTCCATTGCAGTGGCTTTCTGACTCTTCTACCTCCGCTGCTCTCATTCATCACACTGTCCCAAGCCCCATCATAGCCTTTCCTGAAAAACTACAGTAGCATTCTAAGTACTTTCATAAATACTTTGTGAATAAGTGGAAATTATTTCTTTGTCTGACTCTTTGCACTGTCTTTGTTTCCATATTTATGTATTTTCTCCAAATCAAATCTTATGTTTCACTTTTGTTAAGTTTTTTAAAATTGTTTTTTCTTGCCCTAATGTTCATGTTCTTTTATTTATTTATTTTTATTATTATTCATACATTAAATCACTATACATCATTTAGATTGTGAAGAGACTTTACCCAGCATGATATATACCTCAGCCCAGCCCAGTTGAGACCACCATACACATCCTCGTCAACAGATAATAAACCTTATCTGTGTCCCACAAGTGTCTTCTCCATTCTCCCCCCAAACTTCCTATGCTCTTCCCCTCCCATACACACTTTCTATTTTGTCACTAGCGTCTATTACAATTTTTTAAAAAAATAATTATTTAACTTTGTTTATTTCAATTTGACCAGAGAGGGACTGAGAGAGAGAGAGAAAGTGAGACAGCAAGCCACCAAGTCCGGGACTTTAACCATGGTTGGCCATGTGAGAGTCCAGCACCTTTAACCACCACGCCACCTGCCAGCCCCACAATTTTTAATACTTTTATGTTCTCAGTTTTTCGGTCTCTACCATAGAGTGTGGACTGCCGGTATATGTTAAGTGGACGATGTCTCTCTTTCATAACCTGACTTGCTTCACTCAGCAACAAATCTTCCGTATTCGTCCACTTTCTTTTAAATTCTAGGGCCTTGTTTTTTTTTACAGCTGAATAGTATTCATGGAGTATATGTGCCACAATTTTTCAATACATTCATCTGTTTGTGGACATTTGAGTTGGTTCCATGTCTTACCAATCGTGAATAAGGATGCCATGAATAAAGAATATAGATGTGCAAGCGCTTTTCCAACTGAGTGTTCTCCTGTCCTTTGGGTAGATATCCAGGAGTGGAATTGCTGGATCATGTGGTAATTCAATTTGAAGGTCTTTGAGGAACCTCTATATTGTTCTCCACAGTGACTGGACCAATTTACATTCCTACCAACAGTGTAGGAGTGTTCCCCTTTCATCACATCACCTCCAGCACTTACCATTATTTGTTTTTTAAATCTTCTCCAGTTTGACTGGTTTTGATCTCTATCTCCCTTAAAATGAGGGATGTTGAGCATTTTTTCATACTTTTTGGCTGTTCATATGTCTTCCTTAGAGAGTTGTTTATTCAGTTCATTTTCCTATCTTTTGGTTGGGTTAATCATTTTCTTTCGGGTAAGCTGATTGAGTTCTCTCTATTCTGGTTATCAATCCCTTATCTGAGGCTCACAGTTAACAAAAATTCTCTCCCGTTCTGTGGGTTGTCAATTCACACTAATTACAGTGTCTTTTGCTGTACAGAAACTCCTTAATCTGATGTAATCCCATCTGTCTGTTTGGAGGATTATTGCCTGTGCTTTGGGGATCTTGCTTAAGAAGTATTTGCCTACCCCAGCGTCTCCCAGAGTTTCCCCAGTGTTTTCCACCAGTAGTTTTATAGTTTGTAGTCTTAGGTTTAGATCTTTGATTCACTTTGAGTTGATTATTCTTAATGGTGACAGACAGGGGTTCAGATTCATCTTTCTGCAGGTAGATTCCCAGTTTTCCCAAAACATTTGCTAAAGAGGTTTCCCTTTTCCCACTAGATTGACTGGTACCCTTTGTCAAAAATGAGTTGGCTGTATGTTTTGGGTTTTTTTTCTGGAGTGTCTACTCTGTTCCATTGGTCCTCATGTCTATTTTTGTGCCAATACTATGCTGTTTTGATTATCACAACTTTGTAATATATTTTGAGGTCAGGAAGTGGGATGCCACCTACTTCAGTCTTCTTGCGCTGGATGGCTTTAACAAAACAGGGTCTTTTATGATTCCAGACAAATTCTATGATTGTCTTTTCTAGATCTGTGAAGAATGTCTCTTTTAATTTTATAGGGATTGCATTAAACACGTGGATTAATTTAGCTAGGATTGCCATTTTTATTATATTGATTCTGCCAAACCAGGAACATGGGATGTCCTTCCACTTTTTAGTGTCCTTTTCAATTTCCTTTTTAAGATTTTCATAGTTTCCTTTGTAGAGGTCTTTGACTTCCTTGGTTAGTTTTATTCCTAAATATCTTGTACTTCTTATGGCTATGGTAAATGGAATTACATTCTTCAGTTTTCCCTATTGGAATGCCTTTTATTTCTTTCTCTTGCCTGATTGCATTGGCCAGAACTTCCAGTACTATACTGAATAGGAGCAGAGAAAGTAGATCGCCTTGTCTTGTACCAGTTTTTAGTGAAAAAGCTTTCAGCTTTTCCCATTCAGTATAACGTTAGCTGTAGGTTTTTTCATAAATTGCTTTTATTATGCTGAGAAACAGTCCTTCTATGCCAATTTTACTGAGATTCTTGATCATAAAGGCATGTCGTATTTTATCAAATGCTTTTTCCGCATCAAGTGATCAATGGTTTTTATCTTTCTTTCTGTTAATATGGTGTATTACATTTATGGTTTTGCATATGTTGAACCATCCTTGCATCCCTGGAATAAAACCTACCTGGTTGTGATGAATAACCTTTTTTATATGCTGTTGAATACGGTTAGCAAGTATCTTGTTGAGAATTTTTGCATCTATATTCATCAGGGATATAGATCTGTAGTTTTCTGTTTTTGTCATATCCTTATCCATTTTGGGAATAAGGGTAATGGAGACTTTATAGAATGAATTTGGAAGGGTTCTTTCCTTTTGGATCTCTAGAAACAGTGTGAGGTTACCTCTTCTTTAAAAGTTTTATAAAATTCAGCTATGAGGCCATTGGGGCCTGGACTTTTCTTTGTTGGGAGGTTATTTATTACTGATTTAATCTAATTGCCTGTTATAGGTCTATTAAGGATTTCTGTGTCCTCCTGAGTCAATCTTGGTAGATTATATGTGTCCAGGAATTTGTCCATCTTATCCTGGTTTTCTTCTTTGATGGCATAGAGTCCCACATAGTATTCTCTAATGATGTTTTGTATTTCTGTTATGTCTGTTGTAATGTTGCCTGATTCTTTGCAGATTTGACTTAACTGGTTCCTTTCTCTCTTCTTCTAGTCTGGCTAATGGTATGTCAATCTTGTTCATCTTTTCAAAGAACCAGTTTTTGCTTTCACTTATTTTCTGTATAGTTCGCTTATTTTCTATTTCATTTATTTCTGCTTGAATCTTTATTATTTCTTTTCTCCTGGCATTTTTTGGATTTTTTTGTTCTTTTTCCAATTCCCTGAGGCATGCATGATGTTAGGTTGTCCTTTTCCCACCTTTCCCTCTTTCTCTTGTGCACACTAATTGCTATGAACTTCCCTCTTATGACTGCTTTTGCAGTATTCCATAGATTATGGAAACTTGTGTACTCACTATCATTAGTTTCCATGAATCTTTTAATTTCTGTCTTAATCTGCAATAGTCGTGGAGTCATTCAGAAGTAGGTTATTTAGTTTCCATGTATTTGTGTCCCGGCTCGTGGGACAGTTGAACAGGTTCCTTGGGGGAGGGAGTGAGAGATGGGACAAACACACGCACACATACTATGAGGTGCTGATCAAGTCGTCTTCTTCCGTCTACTTCCCATTTATTGAGGAGAAATGGCGAGTTATATACAGCTGGTGGGAACCAATTGGTTGCCCGAAATGCAAATGTGATAGAACAGCATGAACCAGTCATTGATGTGGGTGGATCTCTCCCGTTGCCTAGAAACCCAACCACTTCCAGGGAGAACGGGTTGGTCACATGATTTCTGAGAAACCATTTGCTCAGTGAGGAAGTGAAAGCTCAGTGGTTTCCAAGATAGTGGATAGCTCAAGATGGCGGATAGCTCAAGATGGCTTCTGTATGCAGTGCTCACCACATATTTGTATATTTTCAAGGGCTTTTCCTGTGATTAATATCAAGTTTAATTCCATCATGGTCAGAGAAGATGCTGGATATAATTTCTATGCCTTTGAATCTATAAAGGCTGGTTTTGTGCCCTAACATGTGATCAGTCTTTGAGAAAGTACCATACAGGACTGAGAAAAATGTATATTTTGTGTGTGTGTGTGTGTGTGTGTGTGTGTGTGTGTTTTGTTTTGTTTTGTTTTGTTTGGTGGAAAGTTCTA